CTCGAAAAGATGAACCCAATGACACCAAATTCAACCAATCCAAACCCAAATGGATCCAAATTTAAAATACGCTGGAAAATCAGTCGTAAATATTTTTTTGCATATCCATCAGAAATTCAGTCAGAAATATTTCAATGCAATATATTGGAAATCTATGAAAAAATTTGTCCGCCGTTAATCCGCCGGAAAAATATGGGTAATGGCGACTTTCCTACAGTGCCGCCAAGTCGCCAACCAACACTGACATCTACCACTGATGATCTATTGCTCATCCATAGTTGACCAACACCAACAACTAGTAACATCCACCATCACCCTAGCTTCATTTAATGTCATCCCTTTCTATCAACAGACAGCCTCCAACATCTTGTCACAAAACTTTTATTGTCAATCCATTATATCATCTCTCAATTGAAATCAATATTTATAGTCACTCGACCACCGTCATTCATCATCAAATAATATCACTGATGACAATCATCATCGATAATATCACTAATGACAATTATCACCGATCATTGAGTGAAACCAACAATTACCATCATAAAAAAAAAAAAATCAACAATTACCATCCTTATTATTTCTCCAATATTTTTCATTACTCCCACAAAAGATTAAGCCGAAAAAACAAAGATTCATAACCTCTCCTTCTCTATTTAAATGAGCCGCAAGCTTTTATAATCTCACTTTACATAATAAACTATTTTAGCTAGCTATGTTAAATTACATAGTTTTTTCCAGTCTTTTACATAAAATTTTTACACCGTTTATGATAAAAACTTTATATTATGACCAACTGAACACTCCTTAATTTAAATGAACCAAATATGAACACAAACGCTAAAGCTCGAACAAACATGAACCAAACTTGAACAAGCTGATATTAAATGAACACAAACATGAACACTCACATACTCGGCCCGGCTCGGTTCGTTTGCAGCCCTACGTTTGAGAAAGAATACGTACCACTTGTTTTGACTCTTTAAATATTAACTTTTGTTAACTTGAAAAAATTTTGATCTCAAACTTTTGGCATTTGTCTTAGAATTTATCTCTTATGTTAGTTTATTTTTATGAGAGCGCCCAAGAGTATCATTAATTAATATTAAGAATAATAAGCCACATATATAATTTAAAAATGAAAAATATATAATATAAAGATTTCTCGATTTATTTATTTTAGCTTTAATCAAATTTATTTTCAAGAGAAAGTGCATCATTTAAAAAATAAAATAAAAAAATAAAATAAAAACCTAACAAACCACCTTTCACAATAGGGCTGTTAATAATGGATCCGACCCGAAAACCCGACCCGAACCCGACCTGAAAATTTTGGGTTTGGGTTGACCCGAACCAGAAATGGGTCGGGTTCGGGTTAAACAATTTGACCCGTTTAAAAAATCGGGTCGGGTTCAGGTTGACCCGAAATCGACCCCCCGTTTGTGACCCGAAATCGACCCCCCGTTTGTGACCCGAAATCGACCCGTTTGTGACCCGAAAACCCATTTTTGATTCAGCAACCCGAGATTGATCCGTTTTTTTACCCGATTTTGACTCGAAAAAAGGAGATTGACCCATATTTAGACCCAAAAATAGCAGATTTTTATTGGTCTAGGGTCATTCAAGTCGGGTTGGGTTCGGGTCCAAAAAATTAGCCCGTTTGCAAAAATGGGTTGGGTTGACCTGAACCTGAATATTGCCGGGTCAATTCGGGTTCAACCCGAACCCGACCCGTAACCAGAAATTGGCACCCCTATTTCACAATAGAATTTACTGATATTGTTATTATTCTATTTTTTTACACAACTCAAACACATAGACTTGAACCCTAGACTTTTTAGTTGGAAGCCTAAGCTCTCAACCAATAGGCCAAGGAGAGCTGTTTATTATTCTTTTCACATGCACCATTGAAGATAAAATAGTCATAAAGCCGTTCTAAATAGAGAAAATTATTCCGCCCAGTTATTAGTCATTGGAATGAAAAATAATGAATATGAGGCCTTTAAAATGAACGTTGCATATTTATTTAACATTTATAAATATATGATCAGAATTTTGTATGAAAAGCATTATAAACTACACTTTTATGTATATATCAAACGATTATGCAAAATTTGGCAATATTTTTGAATTAGACATAAAACGATCATAAAGCCGTTCTACATAGAGTTAAATAACAACTAGCCGTTAAGTCATTTAATGAACAAATTGACACATTCATTTCGGTTTTTGAAAACCCGAAGGCAAGAAAAAGCAAATCCTGCTCCCTAAATTACGCACCAGACAAAAATAAAAGAAGATCGAAAAACTCCAAAACCTAAATCCTATCTCTTCCTACTCCCCCGCATTATCTGAGATTCCCATGGAATCTAACATACTAAAATTTGATGTTTCTTGCGAATTTTGCACCGTAGAATTCAAGCCTTCTAATTTCAATTCTATCACTTTCTTCATTAACGTTCCACCACGAAATCTTCAAAATCCACCTCTCTGTGATCATAATGGCTTCCCGGAGATAGCTAAGCCTAATCTTAAATGTTTGAAGTCACTGATACAGAAGATTGGGCTGTTATTGAGGTGCTGTAAGACTTCGGAGGACAATGTGCCTACAGGAACTGGCGATGATCGATATCAGTTCCCAAACAAGTTAGGATTTCACAGCAGAACGTCAGCCATTGATCGTGATGAGAGAGTTAGAGAGGCAATCATGTATTGTAAGAGGACAATGAGAAGTGAGTCTTCTTAGCGTGAAGCAGGATCTCATTAATAGATTACCATCTTCTTTACAAGAATGATCTGTTTCTCCTTCAACGTGAATAGGACCTTAGCTCATTTTGGTTGTTTTCGCCTTTTTTTTTTTAAAATCAGTTTGTTGTTTCATATTTTTTTGCATCTATGAAATGTTTGTTCTCATGGTTAGAGTTTTTGGTAGTCCAGCCATGCTGTAATTTTTTTAGCGATCTGCAATATTATGTCAATTAAATATTAAAAAAAAGTGTTGGATGAATACCACTCAATGAATAACAAGAGATATAAGGATAAGTATGTAGAAAAAGGAGTAAATTTTTAATTTTCTATCACATTATTCTTTTCATTTATTTTATTACATTTGACATTCTATATAATAGCCACCTTACATTTTTTTATTTTTTTATTATTATTTTTGAAACTAGGATATCTACCTACTGCCACCCCTTAGAGAAGGTGCTTGAAGGAAAACTAATCTCTTGAGTGGCCTAGCATCAACTAGCCCCACAAATGTGGGGCCACGCACTTATTTCTTCCCATTTAATGAGTCACATCGCTTGAGCTGTCTCCATCCGTAGGTATCTGTATGCAAAGGATTAAAAATATTCATAGTATCATCAACGATAATTTTAAAAAATGCTATATTATCTTAATTATAGCCAAAATAAATTAGTGCTGCCATGTTCAACAAGCATAAAATATTGAGTTTAATATATTGTTTTACGAGATTATAAATTTCTCCTCCTTTGGAAACTTTTTTTAAGCCTATGAGGAAGATAACATAGCAATTTTCTTTCTAAACTATTCCTGTCATGCACATAAAATAGCATCTTTCTTTTACATATTTTCACATCGAAAAAATCGAATATCCTAAAAATTTCAAATGAAATGCAGATTAACAACTTTCCTAAAAGCAGCACTACAAAATATCTATCTACAAGGCAGATCATTTAGCAAAGATCTATACTGAATATTATATGGGAGCATAAGGTGTTGGGATTACAATAAAAATTTAGTGAGATAGTTGAGAAATATCATCAATTGATGGATGATTTGAAACACCTCCTTTTCTCCATATCAAATTTTGTTTTTAAGTTTGAGCACAGGTTTCCACCATTTCAATATGGATAATCCTATGAATGCAAGAATGGAGAAGAACGTTAAAACAGAAAGTAATCGTGGCAGGATGGCCTTTATAATAACAGTAATCCCGTCTGAATGGCTTCCACCTTCAGCTGTTATCTGCATGATGAAAGCTCCCAACGGCCAGTCTAGTGGAACTTGCCCCACCTGGTTTGCAAACACAACCCTGTACACGAAAGGAGAGAGTTAGACCATGTTTAGAATGATAATATCATAATAAGTTGGTTCTGTTTTGATTGTATTAGTATCTGGAAGGAGAGTTAGGCTTCGTTTGGGACGGCTTTCTTCTTGCTTTCTGAAACAACTTTTTATTACAAAATTTTCTTGAATATGAAAATTTTGTAGTAGAAAACAGTTTTAAAAAAATAGAATGAAAGCTGTCCCAAACGAAACCTTAAAGTTTCTTTCTGTATGAGTGGCAGTGCAACAATTTTGCCCAAAAAGGGATGCAATAGGAGAGTTTTGTTCATTAATACATAGAGTGAAACATAAACTCACATTGAGAGGCAAAACAACAAATGATCTCTTATTATTTTGGTAGTACTCTTTACATGTGTACATAAGTTTTTATGTTGATGGTGTCCATCCACTAGTGCAATGGTTTAACTCAAGCCTTCGGAGTTTCACCCCCTTAACAAGTGATTTTCGTCAATGATTCAGCAAGGATCAAGTCCTCCCATATGTTTTCTAGTTTCCATCCCTTGGGTTTTGAAGGCTCCTATCTTAGTGGTATAAGATTCCAAAAAAACACTACTGGCTGTTGCACTAATGGTGTTGAAAAACTTTCATGGAATGGTTGTGATAGTTGATGTTAAGGAATTCTCATATAAAGGAATTTTATAGAGATACTATTAGGTCATTTCCTGAACCACCCAGCTGGCCCCACATGGGCTGGCCTTAGTCTGCAGGAGGCGGATCAAACCGCCTCCCATGTTGCTTCACAAGCAATAGGGGCCAACGCCCTATTTGATTGCCGACCATTAATAGTGGAGTCCACTATTTGAATTAATCTTTTTTTTTTGGGGGGCGACTAAGGCTATATATAGGCATGAGAGGAAAGGAATAGGGCATGCTTGAATATTGTTTTCTTTTGGAGTCTCTTGGGTGTCTTGGGCTCTAGACTTGGTATCTAGAGATTGGGAGAGACAATCATCCTCTCGAATAGATGATTAATTGTATCTTTTTGTATGTTTTCTTTGTTTTGAGTATTTAATAAAAATCTACGATTATTTTGGGTTGTTTCATTATCGTTATTGTGTCTTCTCGTTGTTTTTACCAATTTCATGTTAGGGTTGCTTGCGAACTCAAGTACAACCAATATGATTACTTGTGAAATCAAGTATTTTCTATCAGATACATATACAACAATAACAACAACAACATCAAGCCTTTATCTCTACATGGGGTCGGCTAAATGAATCATTTTTTCCATTGTGTTTTGCTACGAGTTAGATTCCCATTTACCATATTGAGATACACATGATAACAAAAATATTCCCATATTCATAAGAGTACAGTTCTTGATTTACAAGCAATAACCCACACAAGCTTCAGTTTTTTTGTTGATGGCATTCAACCACTAGCATAATCAGTTCAACTTTAGTCCCCGGTGTTCCAACTCTAAATATTTTCATATTTGTCCATGTAACACTAAAGGTATTACCTGCTGTCATTCATGGCAATGCCAAGACTGTCATGTAGTAGGGCCACAATATATGCTGAAGAGAAACAATACCGCAACAAATCCTCTTCCTCTAGATCACTATACTTTCTCCTCAATTCTGACCAATCTTCTTCACAGAATTTTTCCCCAGCCAACATCAAATCAGCAATAAATGATGAAGGACCCAATCCAAAGAACTATGAAGCAGCACAAAGAGAAATAGCGTAAGCATCTAGGCTATTAAGTACCATTGAAGGGATGAATGCCAATTTAAAAAGAAAAACAAACAATTTCAAGAAATAGAAATTCAATAACACCGTAAAGTTAGCAACAATAAAAGACTACTGAGAATAGTTTATAGCAGAACTTTGTGAATAATTCATCAAAATTTTTGTAAGAGTAATGATCACAGAAAGGAACATATGCAACCTTTGATGTATGGAAGAAATTCTCTGTTGCTATGAACTTCCCTTGCAGCTTTGGAACAAAAGTTGAACCAATGTGACAGTTCTTATATGAGCATCTGTCTGCAAATGGAGGAAAATAATAATTTTTTAGCCATTCTGACAAAGAGGAAGATAAACATATTGTTAACTGCCAGTTTACAGCTAAAATAAACACAGAAGAAAGAATGAATATAAAAAACAACTGCAAAAGAGAAGAAAACCATGATAGTGAAAAAGAGCCTCTGACAAAGAGAATTTAAAATCACAAGTTTCTTTCTTTGTTATGGAAAGCAAAGTTCGCTGTAATTAACGAAACGCAAATAAGAATATTAATTAACAGAGAAAAAGGACATCCTCGAACTGAACATAACAAGCTTCTTTCTGTAAATGGAAAGAAATAAACGGTGTAATTAACAGAAAGAAAATGGAACGTCAACTATGTCAACGTCCAGAGACATGATACATGCAATCATCCTCTTTGATGCAAGATGTCTTAGGGCCTAGGTTTTTGTGATGTAGATTTAGGATAAGATGAAGGAAAAAAAAAACAAATAGACAAGCTCAAATTTTCAGTTCCCAAACTTCTAACTTAGATAATCCATCTTAAACTTTGATGAAAACCAAAGAAACATAAAATCCACACAAATAATAATTTAAAAGCTGTCTAATAAAAATCTCACACAACAATTCAAGATCATAAGAAAAGCACAAATTCCATTGAACATCATGTCACAAATGATAATAAATTGAAATAAAATTGATGGTATTCAATCATAAAAGCAAACCAATTACTAAAATTAGAACATGAGAAAAAGAAAGAGATCACCAAATTAAAAAGTCATGCCTCCTATTAGTATAAGGAAATGACTTCTTGAATTACAAAAGGTTACAAGAATTACATCCAATCTAAAATTCATTTATTCAAAGTAATACTATAAGTGATATATATTCTACACGCCTCGAGTACCCATATCTATTATCATAAGACTTCCCATCAAATAATAAAATCACAAGACAAAGTTAGCAATCTAGTAACAATTTTTAGGGGTCACAAACAGCATATATTATAGGCTAGGTAATATAAGTCACGTGCATAACAAGATCGTAGCAAAAAGATAACCAGGACACAAAAAACCCATGATAGGATAGCATAGAAGAAGCCAATGACAAAAGGTAAGAAGAACCATGATAGGATTGAGCGCAAGAACATAGAAGGATTAGAGATGGAAGTTGTGATAAGATTGTGAACAAGATTGTGAAAGGCTACATCTATTGATCTAGGGAAGGACAGCATCAATCTGCCTCACAAAAAAATTCCAATCTTGACAAATTGTTCATTTGAAATTTACCAAGCAAAGTTGGGTATAATTCTTCACTTCCTAAACAGAAATCCATGCTTCTTCACAAGTAGACATGTCTTATCATTTAATAAAATATTTTTGCTATTCATCATCAGTAATAAACATGATTTTATCTAAAAAAAGTCCTAGAAATAATAAGATAAGCATGAAGTAACTGAGAATTCTACCAATGGTGTATTGGATGTGGTGAATTATGAAAGAAGGTAAAAAGAAACAATAATCTAATATATTGCTTAAAGGTTAATAATGATACAAGTCAAATGAAAGAAAGTAAAGACTAAACTAATGTAAAAAATCTACTTGTAAGCATGCATCCCAATGCATTGCAAGAATTTACATGTCCCGATCTTTCTAGAAGTTAATTCTTTGAAGACGCATGTAAAAATCAATTCAACATATATCTAATTCACATATTTAGTAGACTTATGCATATCACCGTTAAAAAAAAGTTTCTTGTGAATACTTCTATGGAAATCATGCAAAAATGACTAAGATAATAAAATAATACAATGCATGGAAATGCTAAAATTCTAGCATGCTTTATAATGAATACACTATGAAAACTCCTAGATTCAGACATGATGAATAAAACTTTAAATTGGTGTTTATTAACCTCCACAAAGTTCGCTTCTAATGAAAGACAAACCGAAGAAAATTTATGTATCTATTGTATGAATGGAAAAACCTTTCAAGAAAGCTATCAAACCTAACAACTAAAAATTTAGTTGTAATAAGTTCTGCGCTTGTGGATTTGACCAAATAGATGCATATTTAAATTTGATGTTTTATCTAAAACATTCATCTGATAGGAAACACTTGTAGATCGCAAGTATTTCCTATCAATCTTCTAAAAACAGCGAGAATTCTCTCAAAAAATCCACACAAAAACAGGAAAACAATAGATAATTTGTAATATTTGATGAAATGGAAATAGAAAATATCAAGATACAATTGATCCTCTATTCAAGAGGATCTTTCTCTCCCAAATCTCTAGACGCCGCTAGAGCCCAAAGGAAACCTAAAATATAAGAGATCTCAAATTTCAGCCAAATTCAAGATGCCCTAACCCTAGAAAAACCAACTATTTAATGCATACAAATCAAAATGAAATCCCTAAACAATCCCTACATTCAAATTTCCCTCTCAAAACCCTCAAAAATTCTTCCTAAAAGGCTCCTCTTGGGCATTCTCTCGATCTCCGCAGGAGGCGGAGATCCCGCCTCGTTCGAGTCTGGGCCGGTCCCGTGCGGACTGGCTGGACCGGCTAACAATACTCCCCTCTCAAAGATCCACCTTTTCCGCAAGGTGGAAAGACAACACCCTCCATTCAATAATCTATTACATAATGTAGGTACAAGAATCTATTTTTCTCTACAATTGATGAAGACATAATTATACAATTAAAAAAATAGTCTAATTCTTGTTGTAGGGATTACAGAAGTCAGGTGTCAAAAAACTAACAAATGATGTCTAACAATGGTCTTGTATGTTAGTAGTTAGACGACATTAGTTCGATAACAGAAATCAGGCAGTGGTGGCAATGATTACTGTTGATAGTAGTTGGCGATGATCCAAAAAAAAAAGAAAAAAAAAATGTTTAGCTCTATTAGCTCTTGAATCCCCTTCATCATACATCATTTATCCAATTTGAGTACTTTAATGATGTCAAAATTAGATGATCTTGGGTTCATTGAATTCCTATCGTCCAACTGATTGATTTGACTTAAAGCATGGAATTGGAGACTATTTAGTCCTTTAATCAATGTCTCGAAGCTTTCAAATATGCTTCAGGTGCTTGATTTAGAATCATTTGGACTATGATCTGATCATTTGTGGTGTTTATGGGTTCGTCTCATTAAGAAATTCAGTTCAACTATAAATTTGTTGAAATAAAAGTTCAGACGGTCATGAATTTAATTTAAAAAATTTTCTATTCAAATATTATCTCAAAATTCATATTGATTAAGTGAAATTTATAGAGACATCATTTGCCCCCTATTTTTTAGACATTGAAGTTTGCGTCGATCGAAATATATGTTAAGCCTTCAAAAAATTTTACGGCACAAAAATAAAGCTTCGAAAAAATTACAAGGCACGATGCTTGTTAGATGGCAACATGGGATTCCCCGTAGAGCCACAAATCAAAGAAAACCTCTTTAATTATAACTTTTAATGATTCATAAAGTCGGTGCATCAATTTGAGCAAAACATTATTAAAATAATTTGCTCCAGATTCTCCAAATATGTTTGAATTTAATCATATAAGTTGCATTATGCTTTGAAAGTATTAAAACTAAATTTGAAATGTCAAAAACAAATCCCGACTTAAAAATTGCTATAATAGGCTTTTAAGGGTTGAAATTGGACCTGGATTAGTTTGGGCCAGATGGGCCGGTCAATTAACAGGCCGACCACCACCAACACTAGTGCCATCATCGGCCCACTTCATTTGGCTACGCGCCTATGATGCTTTTTAATTCAACCATAAAATTTAAGTCATAATAGCCTATGCCAATTAAGATTTTTTTTTTAAATTACAAAAAATAAAATAAAAATTATTAAATTTTTTTAAAAAAAATTACAAAATTTTGTAACTTTCTCTCTCTCTTTTCAAGTACAAATACCTCTTACAGGATGTGTTGAAGAGAAATTGCTCATCTCATTTAGGCTCCAATTCTTTATCTAAAGAGAGACTTTCAACGGTCTTGTATAGGTTGTGCGTAATTCCTCCATTGCAGCCTCCAATAAAATATTATCTTGGATAGGTGGTGTGAAACTCCATTCCATGCTCTAGTGTTCCTCCACCAAAAATAATGAATCAACTTGAAACTACATGGTCACCCCCTTGCAAGCAGTGATCCCACACTCACGCACGCAACGATCCGTCCCGCGCTCACGTTCGCACCCACCCGCACCCCTCAGGTCAACCAATGACGGGTCAGTTTCAGGTTGGACTTGAACCAGACCCGACAACCCATTTTAACACACTTAAAACCACCCTATAAATAGAATTGTGAGTGACATCCAAGATTTTAAATCCCTATGGAGGAACCCTGATATTCTTTTTAAAGGAGGATTGGCAATCTACGTTAAAGGTACTTATGATTCAAAAAAATACCCATTTTGAAGCTCCAAATCTCTCAACAATGAAGAGGTAATTTTTTTCGAAATTTGTTGTAGCAATTATGATGCAAAAATGATGTCAATGAATAGTTACTCCAATTCATAGAGTTTGATTTTACCTTTTAAGGCTTGTACCTTCTGAAAATTTTTAAGTACAAAAAAAGGATGCATCTTTTGAGGCTTGTGCATTTTAAGATTTTTTCGAGAATCGGAGAATTCGGTATCTTCTGAGGCATTTAGCCTTCAAAGATTTTTGGTGTAATTATATAATATTATATATATATATTATACTTTTTAAGAATTTCTGTAGAGAATCCTATTTCTTATAAGGCTTATGTCTTCTAAGTTTGTAGGCATACTGATGTAGGACTACAATGGTTAAAGTAATTTGATAAGAACTTGCACGACTTATTAATTAGAATAATAATGATTGGAACTATTAGCAAATTAAAACGATCAAATAAAACATAAAAGCGGTCACTTCCGCTTAGGCTAAGTTGCACACTAAGCACTTGGATTATCAAAACAACATAGAGAATCAAGACATGCAAATGGAATAGCTTTCAACAAAAATCCATAATCTAACAATAAGATTAG